AAAAATATTTTTAGTTGTAGGTGAACACAATACTTTTACTTTATTTATTTACTTTTCTGTGGTTCCGAGGATCAAACCCAGTGCCTCACATGTGCTAGGTAAGCACTCTACCCCTGAGCTACAACCCCAGCCCTAGAGGTAAGGTCTCTACATAGGTCATTAAGTTAGCGAGATCATTAAGGTGGGCTCTAACTCTACAACTGGTGTCCATATAAGAAAAGGAAATGACTGCAAGGATACATATAGAAGTAGGGCCAAGTAACAATGTGAGAAGACAATGGCCATCAACAAGCCCAGGCAGGAGGCCTCAGAAGAAACCATTCCTGTTGACACCTTGATCTCAGACTTGCCATCCCCAGAACTGTAAGAAATAAATCTGTTTTGTTTAAGCCACCCAGCTGGTGATACTTTGTTGTGACAACCGTAGCAAACTAATAGAAATGGATCCCTTCAAAGGAGTGGTCTCTCTAGATTGATCATTAAATTTAAAATTTTACATTCCTGATTTTGGAACTGATTTTTCTTGGGATTTAGGGCTTATTAAAGTATAAATTTCAGATCATCTGTTGTAGATTGGCCAGATTAGTTCAAAGCTCACCTTCCCATGGCAGTTTCCTGACTCCACTTTTCAACGCCCTGTCTTCCAGAATGTATTAGGCTCTCCTGACTGCTCATGGATCTTTTTTCTTATCTTTGCTATCTGGGATAATATTTCTTTATTCTCTCCTTTAAGTTAATGATATTTAGGAGGAAGAAGAGACACATTCATGGGTTGCTTACCATTTTTAACCTAAAAAGCTCTTAGAATGTTGTGTTTTTGTTTTGGTAGATTTTGTTTTTCTACTGAAGCCAAAGGAAGAAATAAAATATTCTTTTCAGAACTCTAAAAATTATTTCTAACATAACTTTAGTGTCACTTTGAACTCAAATGCACAAGAACATGGCTTTTTATTCTATAGTGGACATTAATTTGTACCTTAGGTACCACTTTGATCCAATCAGGTTTAGAATTTTAAAGATATTTTTATTAGTGCCTTATACTTAATACATAACATTGGGGTTCATTTTGACATAATCGTACATGTGTAAAATGTCATTTGCTCCATTTCATTTCAGTCCCCAGTACTTCCTCTTCCTCTTCTCTCTTCCCTCCCCCTGTTTCCCTTCCTCTATTCTATTGATTTTCCTTCTATTGGGTATAGCAACTTTTGATCAAGGGGTTATAACAATTTTTAATACCAGCGATCCAAGGAGGATCTTTGCCCAGGATATTGTTATAAATGAAGAGGACACTAGGAAGATATCAGTACAGTTCTAGAGGGATTACAACATCTATGATTGCACCAAGAACCTTGTAGGGGTTGAGATGATGTCACCCACGAGTGTATGGGATAAGATACCACTGGGTTTATCCATGATACCAAATTTCCCAACGATCAGGAGGTTCAAAAATTGACATGGGTGTGGTTGAGATGCAAATAACTTCAATGTGGGCGTGGATAAGGATGATGTTGAGGAACTCCTAGAGGTGGCATCTCAGGAACTGATTAATGAGGAGCTTTGGAACAGGAATACATAGCTGAAGAAAAGAAAAGGAAACTGCGGGAAGAATAAGAAAAAGAAGACAGCAGTGGAGACAGACGAGGAGGTGGAGGAGGAGGAGCAGCCTCTTCAGAAAATTCACAGAAAAGTGTTTAGAGCAAGCTTCTGTAGATCCCAATAAGTTATTTTAAGTCTTGGAAAACACAGCCCCAACACTAAAATGTTTTCATTAATAGAAGGAATGTTCATGGTGCATTACCTGATTACAAGCAATTGATAAGTTGGAAAAAAGATCCATACCAAGAAAACCACTAGGGCTTTATTTCTGAAGTGAGTGATGCTACTTGTCCAAGAACCTCAGGCAGACTCCTCAGGAGGTGTCCCAGAAGAAAGCATGGTTAATATAGGGGATGACAGCTGTGTGTGTCCTTGCCCCGGAGACCGTTCAGTGGGACAATTTGTGGGGATAGAAAGCAGACAGTGAGAATCCTGACCCCGTGTGGGCTTGGGCTAGTATGTGTGTTCATGTCTTAGTTTTTAACCGAAGAGTTTAAAAAGAAGAAATAAATAAATAGAAAATGATTATAGTGAAGGATACAAAGGAAGAAAGTATCTTGTATGGCTATATAATACTCATGTTTTAAGCTAAGTGTCATTATAAGAGTCCAGATGTTTAAAAATTGTAAAATGTTCATAAGGTAAAATATTACAGTAAGATAAGTTTACTATTAAATAAAAATAGTTTTGTTGTTTTTTTTTTAATTTAGTGCTTGCTAAAGGTATGGTGTCTATGACTCCATAGCAGTGTGATGCCCTAGGCCTTGGCAACCACTCACCAGTCTCCCAGCTCTGCGAGCTCCATTTGTGGTAAATGATCTAGATATGGGTTTCACTTTTTAAACCTTTTCACTGCACTTTCTATACCTTCTCCATGTTTAGATGCACAACCCCACTCCTGTTACGGTGGACTCCAGCACTGAGCGCAGTACCATGGTGTAAGGGTTGGTGGCCTGGGAACAATGAGCTGTGCGGCCACACCGTGCAGGTCCAAGTGCACTTTGTGATGTGATCTTTACACTAGACAAAGCCACTGGACGACACATGTCTCAGAGAGCTTCCCAGCGTCATGTACACATGCCTGAAAAATTCCACTTCACACCTGACTCCATGAGTTCCTCTTCCTCGCAATCCTGCGTCTGTCGTCTAGGACAACACACTCTCCCATTTCCTCCTCTTTACGTGTCTCCCCTTTTACTCCTTTCTTACTTCACTTGTTCCCCTGAATGTTGGAGTGTCCCCATAGTATGAGTTGAATCGTGCACCCTCACAAATTCTCATGTGGAAGTCCTAAAGTCCAGAAACTCAGAATGTGACCTCATGAGTGATAAGATTTTTAATTAAGGGTAATCAAGTTAAAATAAAGTCATTGGGTGGTTCTGATCCAGTATAACTGGGTCCTTATGAAAAGAAGAAATTTTGGGAAAAGCACACAGACAGGAAGAACGCCACCTGAAGATCAAGGTAGAGGTCAAGGTAGTGCTTTTACAAACCACCCATTGCCAGCAAGCCTCCTGATGCCAAAGGAGATACACGGATCAATTCTTCCTCATGACCTGAAGAAGGAATGAGCCCTAGGGGCACATGGATCTTGAACTTCTAACCTTCAAAACTATGAGACAATACACTTCCGTGTTTAAGCTACCCAGTTAGTGGAACTTTGTTTCAGCAGCCCTAGATAGTGTCTTTAGAGTCTTCCTGCCTTCCTTTTTCCCCTTCCTTTCTCCTTCTTCTTTTTCTGTGGTTATTCCCTTGGTGATCTCATCTGCTCTTGTGTTTTTTTAAATTCCATTTATATTCTGGAGTCTTCTCACTGTCTATCTCCCCAGAACTCATGTGTATCTCCAACTTTCTTCTTAACTTCAGCTTTAACATGCCCCAAACTTAATTCCTCATTTTTTTCCTACAACGGACTCCTCCCAGTTCTCTCCATCTTACTTAATAGCAGCTCTGACCCTCACGTTTGCCTGGGTGCTGTACCTAGAGATCTTTCTTGACATTTCTCCTTCATATCTCCACTCTGTCAGCCAACACTTGATTCTACTCTCGAGACATGTTCAGAATCCACTCCCCCTACCTCCATCTCTTCTCTGGTAGCCACCATCACTGTAGCAGTTGCCTCCTGATTTCTCTCCCTACTTCTGTTCTTATTGTCCTTTTATCCATTCCCAATATAGCATCCAGAATGACACTGTACAAATGCAGTTCTCACACCTCTGTCCAAACTCTGCAATGTCTCCTCATCTCACTTCTCAAGTCCCTGTAGCGGCCTGTGAGGCTCCTCGGTGTCCTGGCTGTACAGGTTCACAGGACTCTTTTCTCATTTGCACTTGCTATTCCCTCTCCCAGAACCCTTCCCAGATACTGTCACAGTCCAAAATGGTCACTTAAGAAGTAGTTCTTGAAGAAATAGGGATTAAATTGAAAGGATACCTATTACTAAGATAAAATTAAAGCTTTGTACCTTCACATTCAAATATTGCCCCATTTGATCTTGGTAAGCTCTACAGCCTTCACCTATAAGTTTGCTCTCACAGCAGTGCTTTCTGCAGAAAAGCCACTTAACGAACAGTTAATAATTTGAAGGATCAAGTGAGACCAAAAGATAACAGTCAGTCCAATTCATTTTTAGCTTGTCTAAACTGCTCTGCCATTGCTGGTCATTCTAGAATAGTCCCTCCTTATGTGGTCAGTTGTTCTAATGGTAGTGAAAGAAAATGAAAGTGTGTTGCCCTGTGGTGATGATGCACCTCATCCATGGCTACTCTGACTCTCACTTTCTTTTCCACTTCTGGTGATAACTTAAGCATTTTTAAAAAAAGTGTCCACATACATCCATTCTTCCACTATTTTATATTAATGGTCCTCAATCTTTAGTTGGGTGTATGACTTCCCTCCTGAACAAAAGCAGAAAAAAACATCATATTTCCCAACCTCTCTTGCAAATGTCTGTGGCCATAAGACTATGTTCCAGCCCAGGGGATACTGGTGTGATATATCAGGTCAAAGGATGCTGGCGTGAACTTTTTGCTCCCTTTCCCCATGCCCCATCCTCCACCATGCTGCACAGAATGAAGATAAAATGGCCGGAACTGTAGCCATGAATTTGCATCATGAGGAGAAACACTGCAACCTCAGAGATGAGGGATGAGCTGGAAAGGATTTAGATTACTCAGAGATTTGCAGAACAGAACCATCACACTCCTGACGTCTTCTTCTCGCTTGATGTGAGAGAGAAACTTCTTTGTTATTTATGTCACTGTTATTTTAGGACTCACACATTATTAAATGCAATCCTACCTCAAATCTCACAAAAACTATCTAGTGCCTGGAAACTCAGAGCTAAAATGAGTTATTGTTGGGTCATTTAAAAGAATCAGAATCAACACAAGTATCTGCAATGATAGTCAAAGATCTTTATTTCCTATATTTAATTTCTTACAATCGGCTTGGAAAAATAGTTGTGTCCTCAAATGTACTTTCACTGGAGGAAGCTGATATGACCAAACATTAATCTGACTGATTATGGAAAAAATATTTATTCCTAAAAAACAAACATTCTATTCAGTTTCCATTTTGCATTCACTTTACACAAGCATAAAGGGCAGGTCCAAAGTAGTAAGTCCTTGGCAGAGACACGGGTCCGAGGAAAGCCTTTGGCGATTAGTGATCCAGATTCGTGAGAGTTTTTTTCCCATGAGGAAGTTTTCTATCAATGTGGAAACGTGGTGAATTTTCTCAAAAATCTTTTTTGAAGAATTTCTTTTTCCTCTTTTCTGTTGGCATTCTCTTGGATATTTTGGGGGTTAACACAGCATTCTATCTGCTTAACATTCAATTTTAGACACACCGGTTATCTGCTCTATTCTTCTGAACAGCTAACTGCACTCTATAAATAAACACATCAATTTCCCTCTATTACCAGTCTTCCAGAGAATCTCATATAATTGTAATTAACCTAGTATCTACTTATCATTAAATATACTTTTGTTAGAAAGAATATACAGCATATGAAATTACAGGCCTTTCATGAGCTACAGACACATTTTATAACTCAAATAATATTTACAGTGTAAACATCACAGTTGTTACATCAGAAGAAAATGAACCACGACATTCACGACACTACACTTTATTTGGTTTCAATATTGAAGTTGTTTTCTTGAATTAGTTATGTAGAACTCAAAATGTAATTACTGTTGCCTATCATTTTCCTTCAGGAATTCTGAAAAAGAAAGAATTCACACTTGAAACACAAATGTATATTTTTGTTCATAGCATATTAGTTTCATTCACTTATCTGCCCATTTGTTGAGCATCTATTTCCCCTGGTCATAAGGACAAGTACCTTCCAGAAGACTGACTGTCACAGAGGAACTGCTTTCTTTCTAGACACGAATAGTCACACATTTGAACCTTTCACAAGTGGATAATGCGCAGGATTTCCTGTCCAAAGAATTTGTCCAAAGCCACCCTTCCATAAAGATATGAAGGAAGGATGTGATCTCACAAATGAACTCACAATTTTCAAAGGATAGAGGAATCTGCCTGTGTATTTTAGTGCCTGTCCTATTTCTTAATTTGATGGAGGTTTTACCTTGGAGATATTTTTTCAATGCCCTGAATGTGATTAGCTTTCATCTGTGAGCAAAGAACTTGTTGCACTTAAATGTCTAGATGTGATAAGCCATCCTTGCAGGTAAATCTGACACTACACCACTCTTAAGATAAAGGGGAGATCTACTTAGTGGACAAAAGTAATTGATCATGCAGGTGTCTTCAAGACACCCTGTCCACTTTTGTTGACTCTCTTGGAAACCTTCAATAACCACATCAGGAATGGACATGACTGTGACCTGCCTTTGGCCTGTGTGGGCTCCATTAATCTCTTGGACCTGGTCAGGGATTGGAATCCTGCCCACCTTCAGGTTTTACTAATAAAGTTTTATTGGAACACAGCCATTCCCATTCATTTTACATGTTATCTGTGATTGCTTTCATGCCACAACAACAAGGTTGAATAATTATAAGAGAAACAAGATAGCCCACAAAGCTGAAAACACTTACTTTGTAGGCCTTTGGAGAAAATTGCTAACTTTTAGTATGCTGATGACAAGAATTTATTAAAGCACTTGTCAAACATTGTAAATAGATTTGCAGGAGATGATGTAAATATCAATGTAACATAGTTTAGTAAATAAGTATGTCTTGTGCCCACTTTTATACAAAAGCAACTTTTATAACAAGCTCACCATTTCGAAAAAGAGAAAAAACTGTGCATGTTTTCTCTACTAAAAAAAATATTTTATAGTGAATATTATCAGGTTTTCATGACTAAACTCACTTTATAGGTCAAAATTTGACTTTTGCTATATGAAGTTTGCTGTGTTAGTGCCAGAGTGCCTTTGTGCTTTTATAACAATGAATTATGGTGATGGTTCCCTACACTTAAATTAAATGAAGAGCTAACAGACAATTATGGAATTAAATCTTAAATTAATAAGAGCAGCATGGTTTGGTTCTCAAAAATAAAGCTAGTTTTTCTCTTGAGTGAGAGTCAGGCTCCTTTGGTTTTTAACTCAACACAAGTGTAGGAATGAGGCCAAACAGAGAGGATAACCTCTCAGATGGCACACTGTCTGAACTGTCTGCTCACTGTGAACAGCCGCTTATGTGATCAGAGTCATTTGAAGCTGTTTTCTGGGGTGGGGTCCATTTCAAGTAGAGATCCTTAAATGAAGTCTCCTGTAAAACGATTATTTAACTCTAGAATTTTTTCCTCCTCAGTGACTCTTCCCTCCTTACATAATTAGATGGTGAAAATGAGAATACAGTGAGAATACACAGATGTACTCACCGCTTCTCATCAGCTGGACTCCAAGAGCTTTTTCATTACTTTGCTAGCTCTTCAGGAAAGTCAGGGGACCCTCCCTCACTGCTGCAGAACAGAAGAAGGAAATTGGGCCTGTTAGGGCTCTTGGAAGAGAATGATTCAAAAGAAATGATAATGACGTAATGACTGTTCTCTGTAAAGTGCACTAGGGCTAAACAATCATCTTTAAATTACTTCTTAACCTCAAAGTGTCTCAAATTATTCTTTCAGAATTACAATTTAGAGGGCAAAGAGAAAATATAATGTTATCTAATCTCACCCAAACAGGATTATCCTTAATACCATGCACACAAAAAAACATTTGGAATAAAAAGAGAGAACTCCACGCCCCCTGCGTTGTCCAATATCTACACACCAAAGAGGGATAGAGATTTTACAGAATTTAAATGTACAAAATGTCTGATGGTTAAATTTGATAAAGTAAGGATTTGAATATGAAGGGGGTCCATGCAGGAACAAATTGCTGCTTGTACTCTACATGTTTTAAAAGCCAATACTTTTGATAAAACCTGTTCACAGATTCAAACTAGCCATCATTTTTAACCCTGATGAAACAGTAGAATTGGCCAGGGGGCTCATAAAAAAATACTGATGTCCAAGTCTGTACCCCAGAGTCACTGATTTCCTGGCAATTGGTTTGGGATAAGGCCCAAACATCAGTACTTTAAAAAGTTTCCAGAGTAGTCTAACATCAACCAGAGTAGTCTAATATCAAGGTTGAGAATGATTACTTCATATAGGATGGATGGATGGATGGGTAGGCAGATAGATAGATAGATAGATCGATCGATCAATCAATCGATCTCTGCATGTAGCTTAGTTTTGTAAGTCATTTAAAATTTCTCATTTTAGCAAGTTCTCTTTTCCTTTACCTCCTCTTGCCATTCAGAATTGAGTTCAAGTATTTCTTTACAGCCATTTGTTTTCTAAGCCGGGTGTAGTTGTCGGTGAAGACTGCATCAGAGTGGCGTTTGATGGGCACAGGGTCTTCTGAGATTGTACTGCTAAGGAATGTGAGCAAGAGAATGTCAGAGTTTAATAATAAATGCCCCAAAGCATCGACATTCCAAATCACTTTTTATTGAGTCTCATCCAATTTGATTTCAAATTTGTAAATAAGTGTGCCATTTAAGAAAAATAAATGTGACTGGACTCAAAGAATATAAGAAAAAGGCTTATTCCTTCATCAATGGGCCCAGTATGTTTTACTCAAAAGTTTACATTATTTTTTAGACTAAATTAAACATTATCAAAGAGTTGTCAATTTTGAAGAACTTACTGAAAGTGAAAATATGATTGGCAGATTGAGTAATGATAACATGTTTGATGAAAAGGAATAAATTCCCTTTACCTAACCCGCTTCCCAATAAGGGATTCAAGGTATTTTTTGGCAGAAAGTTGACCCAAGAGCCTACTGTAGTCACTGGTGAACACTCCATCAGCATGTCTGGCATTTCTAAAACAAGGAGAAAAGGATAGTTACTAATGCATACATGTTTCTCTAGAATATTATTCTAGCTCATTAAATAACAAATTCATCAGCTTATTATAAAAGTTGCTATTAATGCTTAAGTCCAAAAGGAAGTGTTAAGAAAGGTATGTTCTAATCATTTGTATCCTGATGGGCAAATGTTGAGTTATATATGCAGCCCAAGGTTGAAAATTTTTAAAAATGAACTGTTTTAAAAGTAAATTTTTCCCTGGTAAAAGCTGTAAAATGAATGCCTTTCTAAGAAATACTTATGTGAAATATATATCATAATTTCTATATTATGATTTTTTCTGCTATTCCAAATAAAGACATATGCAATGGGAAAATATGTTGATTTTGGCAAAGTCACAGACATATCTTTTCATATTTCTTCTGCCAAAATATTTGGAAACAAAAGCTCTTGAGATAGGATTTTAGGGCTTATTGACCAACTTTTCCATGCAAACGAAAAACCTTTTATCCTTTGTCTTTGGTATGGAGCTACTTGATTTGTCCTGAAAGCTAGACAAGCAGTTCCATGAAGGAACAGCACTGTTAGGTGCCTTTTCCTTAGGTAGGATGAACCTCTGCCCTTAGCACCTGCTCCATCATGGAATCTGAAGTTGCTGTGGTTTTACCAGGACTGGTCCAATCTGTGATGTTGAAGCTAGGTACACAAGAGTGTGAAGAGTGATGTATTCATCCTAACTTGTTGCAGTCTTTCTACAGGAAAATCATGTTCAGCTGCTGGAGCTGCTCTAAATCAAGCTGAATGAGTGACACATGAAAACCTGTAGCATTATACAGACAGAGCTCCAAGGTAAGATAACTAGAACATTTATATTTCTTAAGTATATTTTCTATATAAAATAAAGCAATAAAAATGAAGTCACCTGGATACATCATAATAGGGTGTGTCATTTTCAGCTAAAGCATTCTGCAAGATGTCAGTGTCTGCTTTTAATGAAACTTGGTCTGGCTCATTTGCTCCTTCCAGTGGCATTCTGTCATCCAACCTGTTAGAGAAAAGCACACTAGAAGTGTTAAGACATTCCTTTCTCAGAAGGCAATGCTCATGGTCTTGCAACCATTTGAAATAAGAAACTAAAACTCTTGGGAAATATCATCGATTCACAATATAAGAATAGGATAATTTGACTTGATAATTTGACTTGGTTAATGAGAGTATGAACAGAAAATATTTTCATTATCTCACAAAATAAATGCCATTCAACTTTTCTAAGCTGGATATACCAAACATAAGTGCTGCTTAATTCAATCCTATCAGAGGATTAAGCAAAGTTCATTCCATCTTCTACTTCACTAAACCAAGTGTATCTTCACTTTGCAAAGCCAAGTTTAGGAGGTAGATATAATTCATATAAAACAGAAATTTGGAAACTCAATAACCAGTATTAAAACTATTAGGAACTTATGTATTTGATGATATTTAGCAACAATTGCCCCCAAATACCTCTAAAGATATGAGTATTCATTATTCTTCTCTCCCTGGGTCCCTTGGCTTTGCTTCAGAGATTTACCTTAGCGTGATATATTTCTCTGTACTGATCAAGTCCAAAGAATTTCTTCATTTATGAATCATCATTCAAATTCAAAGAATTTTGTGGGGTCTTCTGGTTTCTAACTTTATGTATTAACACAGCTTTAGTAAGGAATGTATGGTGCTGTACTGCAAGTCTAAGAATTGTGTTAACTATATACAGAACTTGACTATATTTGTGAGTGCATGCACATTTTTCACAATAGCACATTATTAAAATTGTATATGTGTGTACTTTTTATTATTAGGGTAAATCTCCAAGGAGAATGTTTGTTCCAGGGCAGTTTTGTCCCTTCTGCAGTTGAAGTAGCTGGTAGTCAGTAATAAATTGTCCTCTGTGGGTCTGAAGCCCAGCAATCATCCTTTGTGATCTAGCCACTCAGACAGAACCATCCTATTTCATCATCAGAGCAATGTAGGAGATAGCTTTAAACAAATTTAACAGAGAATACTAATGGCTGAAAGATAATTCACTTTATGGGGGGAAAGTACAACTGAAGCAAAAACTCAGGAATGAACAAATAAGCAAAGAAATCATTAATTGGCACTTAGATACGATTCCTGTAAACTGGAAGGAAATATCAGGTTAATGAAAGTTTAATTCACTATTTATTTTTTTAACATAAATCTATTTTATTTCAGGTACAGTTGTAAATGTGAGTAGTGGCATGCTTTATGAATTTGAAATAGGGAACACAGTTAAATTAAAGATTTTAGTTCAAACCAAGTACATTGTAGGGGAGTATACTTCAGGAGAACAATTCTCCTGTAATTTTTAATTTGACAAAGTTATTGGGCCTAGATACATTTCTGTGCAACACGATTTTACACATATTTCACTAATAAACCACTAATCTTATGGTTGTTTACTGATTGATCTTAGAAATGAACTACAATGAGGTTGACAACTAAACAACTATTTTTCCACCAGACAGTGAACTGAACTGAGGTGACAGAGCTTCTTCTCACTTATCTAACACTGGTTCTCAATGAAAGTCAAACCCCCTTCCCACCCGGTTTGGAAATGGGCTCCAGTCCATATGTAAAACTAGGCAATGATGCTCTCTCAGGCCCTGGAGGTGAACTCCAGGACTCAGAAGGACTGTGTTGACTTTATGTTGGCAAAGAACTTGCTCAACACAGCAATTAAAAGCTTTAAATAAATGACACATAATTTAAAATATGGCACCATCCAAAATAACATGTAGGAAGTTCCCATTTCAATAAAGGAACGTTTGACTATCTCAAATTAAAAGTGAACTTCTAAGTTACCTCAGAGCAGAAGATGGTCCAAAGAGAGGCCATGCAGAATTCTGTGAGAAGAGCACACTGGAGAGCGCCAGGAGCAGGAGGAGCTGGGGTTTGCTTCTGGCTTCCATCTCTGTGCCTCTGAAGAGAGAACCACACAAGCTTTCTGCATCACCCTGTCACCGCAAGGTAATTCTAAGGGTCTAGCGGTATTTCTGAAGGCTCTTGCTCGGTTATTTCATCTTCAAGAAAGAGTCAATCAGAAATATGATTGCCTTTTTTTTTAAAAAAATCCTCTTTTTTAAAAAAAAAATACCTTTATTATATTTTTTTTGTTTTTATGTGGTGCCAGGGATCAAACTCAGTGCCTCACGCATGCTAGGCAAGGGCTCTATCACTCAGCCACAACTCCAGCCCAATATGATTGCCTTTTAAATCAAGAAGATTTCTTTTCGCGACAGGTGTTTGAGTAAAAAACTAGGATCCTGTGTGTTTGCTTCCCAGGACTTGCCAGGCACTTAGTGGGCTGAAGTATATATTGAATGCCATGTTTCTATTGTGCTGGAAAAAAACCCTGGGGATAATATTTTTTAGTATCTTTTCTGATGAAGTAAAGAGCTTCAAGAAATTAAGTGATTTTTCTACGTTATGCTTTTCATATCTAACTTACAAAACTGGGGTGTCACCTCTTTAATAATACTTCTACCATGAAAATCATGTACACGTTTGTATATTTTTGTTTGCATATATAGTAATATAATGCATACATACCTATCAGTAAAAAAAAAAAAAAGATTTTATATATACATTTTTGTTCTCTTAATTGTAGATATCACTGTATACTTACTTCCTGGGATCTGGCTTTGAATAACTTAACTCAATTAAGAATTAAAAAATTAAGATCCTCCCAAATAATCGAACAGCATTTTGTCATTGAAATAAATTCAAATAAAATTAAAAATTAAAAACAAAACTTGTTTTTCTTGCATTTGATTCATACATTTTATTTCTAAATAGTTTCTAGATAAAAATTTAGGTTTCAATATTTCTTTCTCTTTCTGCCTGTAAAACTCACAGCACTTAAAATGAAGAGGAAAATAAATGTTTTCTAGGTTCACATAATCAACATGTAAAACAAAAAGAACAGCACCTTAAAAACAAGTTGAAAACTACAAAAAACAATTGTATTCACTGTACCTTTCAGTCAAATATCTGTACAGATGCAAACATAGCCTACTTGGATGCATTTTTTTCCAAAAACCATACTTGGTAAAGGAATAAACCAGGTAAATATTTTTTCAAACAAAAAGATTCTGATAATCAATTCACACAAGAAAAACTGAGATACCTCTATGCTTACCAGGTGACTTGAGAAACTTGTCTTTTTGCAGTTTCCAAGGAAGGGTACTGTAAAATTCTTTTCACGAGAGAAAACTTCAGTATAGCCTGAGAAAAGTTTCAAAGATAGGAAGAATAAAGGAGAAAGGTAAAGTGTGTACTTACCCAGCTGAACAGTGTATTCTGGGGAGCACTGGAGCTGTCTGAGGTGCTGAAGTCCTGGGTGCCCAGACAGGCTGCTTTAGCACTGGCTGGGGGCTAGCTGATACTGCCAGCTACTGCTCTGCACTCTGACCAGCATTCAAAGTTGGTCATTTTATAGGGCTTAGACTTAGGGCTGAGCAATCACAAAGCTCTTTGAAAGACGTCACAGTCGTGCTCCCACGGGCCTGAAGTTCTTATTCAATTGTCATTATGACTGATTTAAAGAAATTTATAGTGAGTAACTTCAAGACATAAGATAAAAAGAGGAAGCATATTTTTTAAGACCCAAAAGTATCAAGCATAATGTGAAATATTTTAGTCTTTAATTAGTTGGAATTAAGAGAGTGATTATAGCGTGATATCCAGGACCACTGAGGTTCCTCGAAAAACCAAGGACTTTATGTAGAAACAATGCAAAAAGCAAAACATCACTTATATTCTTCATGCTTCTGTTTAATTCTCTCTCTCTCTTTTTTTTTTTACAAAGCATCAATTTTTCTAATGCCTTTTTATACTATCCATGTAGGTCCTGATTTATTATTTCTTGAAATCTATCCTGATTTTAAAAGCAACCCAAAGTGATTTTTCACTTTTCTGTCATTATACTTCATTTATGTTGAAAGCAATCCTAGGGAAAAAGTCTCAGCAAGTTTCTATGATGGTATAATATGCACACCATCACACAAAGCAGTAGCAGTACTGCTATTTCACATTTTGTAAAATGTCATAACCCTTAGTACATTTTCACACATACTGCTTCAAATTATCCCCCCAAATTACTGACAACTGTAGACCCTCATGGAATTAAATATTCCTTCCTTTAAAAAAGTGATCCTCTTAATTTTCTAAGTCCTTATAATATGATGAATTATTTTACTTTCCACCCCTACTCTCACCACACATATCCATGTCAGTTTTTGAATATTTCTGACTCAATCACTTTACAGGTGGTTTAAGATAATTACTTAAATATATTTGTAGAGTCCTCTGATTAATACTTCATTTTTATTAGTGGGTTTTTTTTAACTCAAAGTAGTTTTCAAGTAGTATATTCAGTCAGAGTTTAACATCAAAATGTGGCAACATAAACGACTTCATGAATTAAAACATTAAAATGCTCTTTCCTTTTATTTTTAAAAACTATCTAGTGTGTATATTCTTACATTTTTATTTGTAGATTCCTCAAGGAAAGTGGCTCTAAAACCCTCTTTCTTTCTTTTATTTTAAGATTTTAGTATCTATTTGCTACATTCAAAGTCAGACTGATCCAGTAAAAAAATATCTTGCTATGCTTAATCATATTTCTAATTCACTTACAAGAAAAATTAAATGAATTAAATTTCAAAATGTCTGGAAATTTGTTTCTTAGTTGACAGCTCTGACTTAAGCCAGAGTTCCTGTGGCTTAATTCCAGGAAATCTTTTTTTAACTGATTATTACAAAGCAGAGGTTGAAATGGCTCTCATATGGAATTTTTTTATCTTTAGCTCTTCGTCACCCAATTCTCAGTGAAGCAATTTTATTTAAGGCCAGCAACAACAAACTAAATTGATTAAGAATCATAGACAATTCAATGCTGAGTGATAAGCAGGAAAAATACATAAAAATTGATTATTATTTGGTCTAAGCAAGCACTTAGCTTTGACAAAGACTAACTAAAGTAGATTTTTCCAATAGTAAAGACAGTTTCTGCTCTCCCAATATAATAATAGAACATAAAATAAAAAGGGAATAACTCAATTTTCTTACCTTTGAATAAAATAAACCAAATCAAAAACTGCATTTTTCTTTTGAATTTAAATGAGAAAGCAGAACCATTTCATAATGGGATCATAGCACCATCTGCAGGTTAGAAATCTTAATTCCCAGATTTTATCAAAATATGTTTCTGTTTCCTTCTTTCAAGGAAATGCAATGTAAACCAGAAGCCCTTTAACCAGTTCACTTGGTGATGCTTTCAGAGAAATAAATATAAGAAAAGGAATGTGGTTGAATTAGTCCTAAACACTGTGTTACCAAAACTCAATAAACGCAACGGAGAATTTACTGTTTAAATGTACTTTCCCACTACTTGGACACATCTTTCTATAATTTTCCCATATGTCTAGCAAAATTCGTTTCCTATGTTAAGGCTTCTCAGTCAAGTAATATTTGTAACAAGGGGAACTCTCATTCATATGTGCAGGTAGATCAAATATTCAAAATCCTTCTTTTACAAATAAGTAAATCGATGTCCAGAGAGTTTAAGTAATTTTTGCAAGTCACTCAAGCTGCTAAAAATAAACATTAGATTGGTAGTCAGGGCTTCTGATCTTGTTGAGCATTCTTCTCTTTAAGAATTGTGATGTTCTTTAATTGTTGCTATTAGCATTATTGATGCTAACTGGCCAGATACAGAAATAGAAAGCTCATAAAAATATTAGTATGTCCTCTTCCCTTTATTCACCAACAGAACCAAAGGCAGGGACAAAGCATGGTCATTTTATACTGAACCACTTTGGATGCAAGGAGGTAAATGGAAGGGATTTTCAAACTCAAGCAGAAATGCAGATTCACCCTTGTTTCTTTAATGCAAAGACCGACCAGAGGTGCCTTATGGCCAGGAGGCATGGCCTGCCTCAGCTGTGGTCTGCTGCCTCTGGGCGTGACAGGGTTGGCTCCCTAGCTCACCTTCAGTGTTGGTATTTTTCGATGGCTAAAACAACAAAAGAAGAAGATTACTTTGTAACTTGTAAAAATTATGTAAAATTTATATATTGGTTACCGTAGTGAAATTTTAGTGCGACATGGAAAAATTCTCATATATGTGTTCTGAATGGCTGCTTTTGTGCCATTGAGAACAGTAGCCACAAAGTCTGTACACTTTACAAATCTTGAAATATACTCTTTGATCCTTCCTAAAAGAGGCCTGTCAATCCCTGGTCTAGAACCTCCTATTTAGGAAGGTATTTTGCCTTAATGTTCTTAAGTCCTATAGATTTAAAAAACTAAATTTTATTAGGAAATTAATAAACACGTATATGCATACACAAACATTTTTGTATCTAATAAATAAAATGCTAATGTTAATATGTATGTATATATGTAATATACATGTTTATATGTGTCTAAATGCATTGTACTTTTAAAGTATACATGTATATTGTATATATAATATTTACATAGTATCTAATATTATATATGTAATATTTGCCTAGTATGTTAATAGAAATTGGAAAATAAATAAAGTGTCTTACTTTGTACTCTAATGCATGAAAGTTATATGTATAAAATATATTTGATTCTTTTTTATTTTTGATACATAAAATTGTGCCATTGTGACATTTTGGTATATGTATATATTGTGTATCATTCAAATGAGAGTAAACTCCTAAAACATTTATTTTTTTGTGGTGGAAATATTCAAAGTATTTTTTCCCTTAGGCTTTTTTTTTTTTACTGTCATTTACAGCAACCTGGATGAAACTGGAGATCATTATGCTAAATGAAATAAGCCAGACACAGAAAGACAAGTACGACATGATCTCACTCATATGTGGAATCTAGAAGAGTTGATCTTATAGATGTTGAGAATAGAAAGGTGGTTACCAGAGGCTGAAGATGGAAGGGCTAAGAACGACCAGGGAAAGGTTGGTTAATGCTATGAAGGTATGGCTAGTTATGAGAAAGAAGTTCTGGTGTGCTACTGCACATGATGGTGACTATAGAGAACCATAACTTACTTGCTAAAGTTTATATCTGGACTGTCCTCCCAAAGGCCATGTGTTAAAGCCTGGCCCAGCCTGGGGTGCTATTGGGAGGTGGTAGAAGTTTTAAGAGGTGGGGCTTAGTGGGAGGTCTTCCAGTTATTGGAAGTATGCCCTTGAAAGGGAGAATGAGACCTCACCCCTCTCCTCTTCCGCCCCTTTGCATCCTGCCATGAGGTCAATGTTTTTCTCCACCTACAGATGACTGCCACCACAGGTCCAAAAGCACTGAGGCCAACCAAACATGGGCAACAAACAACAGTGAGCCAAAATAAGTCACTTCTTTTTATAAGTTGATAATCACAGTTACTCCTTACAGTAATGGAAAGCTGAGCACTGGTTATAGAACAGTACAATAGAACTTTTAGTTCTCTAATTTAAAAAATTTACACTTATTTTTGTAATTCTTATAATCTCCTATTGTTGATTTGATTTGATGAAAACAATGTTCTAACAAAGGTCAATTTTCTCCTTAAAGTAACTTATTAAAATTAATGCTGTAGTCTGAAATATTTTAATGAATACTAAGCATTTGGACATCTAATGATCTAGCTGATATGGTTGAGGATAATGTCTCCCTTAACTCTAAAACACCATGACCGATCCCACTTAACCAGTGCTGATAATTTCATAGAAAATGATTGATTTTTGAAATTTCTTCTTCAAATCAAAATATGTGACAGATGTGCTCTATTAAGATTAGGGACTGGACAGTAGAAGCTAACAGGGCTTTATTTTACAGCTGATTGCCACCAGACCTATCAAAACAGAGAAACACTTTCAACAATGGTACAGGCAAAAGGAGACTAGCCTGTATGACAGAGAGTCCCCACACCCTGCTTAGGAAGAGCCCACATGAATGGAAAGTGGCTACCAATGTTCAGGTCTTGAACGACTTTATCAAGAATCAACATAGATGATCCCTAGGGACCAGATAGAACTGCATTTTTCACTAGATAGCAGCCAGGCACAGACATAGGCAGACTCCTAGAATTCACATTGTTCTGTCTACTCTCAGAAACTTAGTTGTTATTCTGATGAATAAAAGAGGGACACAAATTCTGAAAATTATAGCATTTACCCCCAAATGACTAGGATTATAATTGCTATGGAATGGAGGAAATGGAAATTAGAGAAAATGCTTTAAAATTATTCTTTTTCTTTGTACATTATACTAGTTGCCCTGGTAAAATTAATAGTATTACTTTACCAACAATTTTGAGTTTTATATGATCATAGCTTGTCTAGGAGGAGCCTGTCCAGGATCCTATGTCCTACTTCATGTCAAAATCAGTTGAAAAGAGACCCTGAGGCATAA